TTTAGTTCAATAATCGCATTTTCAATCCAATTATAAGTCAAGATGCACCTGCTGAAGTGGTTCAAACGGCAGCATTTTGGTTTCTGAAGGTTTGTTTCCTCTCACATTTTTGGACTTCCAAAGCTGCAGTAATCTAACTCTTCAGTCCTCACGGCACTGCCCAGGATAAGAACAGGTTCACTAACAGTCATGCCAGACAGCCGGACAGGTGTGCAGGTTCTTGAAGGCTCTAGATTTGCCAGTTGCAAGAAGGCACCTGTATTGGGTTTTCATGACTATACCACAGTAGGAAAGCAAGCTTATAAAACAAAGAGGTTTATAAAACAAAGAGGTTTATTTTGGCCCATGATCCAAGATCAAGCAGGCCTCCTGGGTTCTGCCTCTGTTGATGACATGCATTAGTGAGCATGTGGAACCACACACCTACTGCCTCATTTACTTGGGCTGTGATTTTTTTTTAAGATCTATTTATTTAAAAAGCAGAGTCAGAGGGAAGGAGAAACACACAGAGTTCTTCCGTTTTCTGGCTACTCCCCACATGGCTGCAGTGGCTGGAATTGGACTGGTCCAAAGGCAGGAGCTTCCTCTAGGTCTCTCACGTGGGTGCAGGGGCCCAAGCACTTGGGCCATCCTCCCCTACATTCCCAGGCCGTTAGCACAGAAATGGATTGGAAGTGGAGCAGCCTGGACGAACCAGTGTTCAGATGAGATGCCGCCAACCTTGCAGATGGTGGATTTACTCACACTGCCATGGTGTCACTCCCTGGGCTATGGTTCTGAGGAACCTCTTTCAAGGAAGTATGACACATGAAACTTCTCATTTGCTCCTTCATTTCACACATATTGAATAGCTAGAACCTAGGGGAGCACAGGAATAGTGCAGTGAGCAGGCATTGTGCCTTTCATTGAGGCCTTTGAAGACCAATGCAAATAGTGGGACTTGTATTCCACGTGAAAAGGAAGCCAGTGATGGAAGTTAGGAATTGGAGTGAGCTAATTCTGTTCTAACTGCAGCATGAAGGATGGGCTGGAGACAGACAGAGGGGGAAGCACAGTCAGGCAATGCCTGCAGTGCCTGAGGTGAGAAGTGTTATAGCAGTGGTAGGGAACAATAAAGCCATTGGAGATGTGTCTCAAGAATGGGAATTAAGGACTTGTGGGTGAGGGGATGGGACACAGGGTGGGAGGTGAGGGGAGAATAAGTTTGTAACCCAGACTTCTGACCCAGCCAACAGCAAGGAAACATTCCTTGAGGCGGAGAGCCAGGATGGTAGGTGGGACTTAGAAGTCTGGTCAAGCCTGGCACTTTGGCTCAGGGCTAAATCGTTGCCTTGAGTGCATTGGGATCCCATCTAGGCGGCATTGGTTCATGTCCCAGCTACTCTACTTCCCACCCAACTCCCTGCTTGTGGTCTGGGGAAGCACTAGAGGATAGGCCAAAGCCTTGGGACCCTGCACCTGCATGGGAAACCTGGAGGAGGCTCCTGGCTTCAGATCATTTCAGCTCTGGCTGTTTTGACCACTTGGAGAGTGAAACAGCAGATAATGATCTTTCTCTCTGTATCTCCTTCCCTGCAAATCTGCCTTTCCAATAAAAATTTTTTTAAATGTAATTTTAGTTGTCGTTATGCCTGTTAGACAATAAGACAAGACATAAAATATTGAGAGCTAAGAGACAGACATCGTCTGCTTACAGCTATTTTGGCATCATCAGGGCAGGGAGAATGTGGAACGAGAAATGTGGGTTGGAGACCAGGCCGCAAGAGACTGATATCTAGAGGCTGGATCTCGGAGTCTGAGCAATGGCAAGTTAAAGAAGGAGACAAAGAGGCAGAAAGGACAGCAGGGGAAGGTGCTGGAGCTCCTGTGCTATGGGTGAAGCCACCACCTTCAATGCCAGCACCCCATCTGGGTGCTCGTCTGGGTCATGGCTACTCCATGTCAAATCCAGTTTCCTGCCAATGCTTTCCTGGGAAAGCAGCAGAGAATGATCCAGGTGTCTGAGCCCCTGCCACCATGTGAGTGATCTGGATGAAATTCCTAGCTCCTGGCTTCAGTCTGGCCCAGAGGCAACTGATAGAGCTAATTGAGACCTGGATCACTGGATGGAAAACCACACACACATACACACACACACAATGTAAATATGCCTTTCCAATTTTTTTTTTTTATAATTTCAAAAAGAAGAAGAGTGACAGTTTGAGATGGGATCAGTGTCACTTGTGCCAAGGCTGGTGGGGAGCCTCAGCAGGGTGAGGAATGAGGTGCTCTTCTGACTTGCCCACATGGACCTCCTGGATGACTGGGAGAAGATTCAGGGTGTGATAGGACTAGGAATCAGAGTGACATGGCTTGAATAGTGGAATTCTTAAAAATAGTTCTGTAAAACCAATGAGCTGGAATATTTGACTAGGTGGACAGCGTGTTGCGAGGTACTAAGGCATGTTCCCTCGCTGGTGGAAATGACCTGGGAGCAGGCAGTGATGGAGGATCCGTGCAGGAGCTTCAGTTCTCTAGGGCTGGGCTGGGCTGGAACCTTCGATTAGCACCTGCTATAACAATGAACACAGGTCTGAGCTGGGAGGTGCTACAGCCCAGGGATGCCTCTGAGCTGTTCCACAAGGGGAGTTCAACCAGAGTATGGGTGTGGTGATGCAGCTTTATAGCAGGGGAAGCCCTTCGGTGGTGATCGTGGAGCTGGACTGACTGTCTGCAGGAACAAGTTACAACAGACTTGGTAGCTTATAAACAGTGCACCACTCTCCTGAGTTCTGGAGGTAACAAGTGCTGGTACTGTGCAGTGGGTGTGGAGGACACGAAGGTGTGAAGAGAACTGTTCCATCGTGGGCAAGGCCACAAGGAATTTCCCACTGCATGGCATGGCCCAGCACATGTCTCTGCAGTCACCTGAAGGCAGTTTCACCTCCCTTTGCATAGACACCAGAGAACCCCGCTGAGATTTCTGTAATCTATTTAGGCATTGTCTGCTTCTGCAGAGTTGGTCTTTACTATCATTGTGAGCTTGGAAGTTGATGTTGCTGACAAGGTCTTAGCAAAAGGGCCTTTTACTATTCATGCTGTCTTGGCTGCTCCCATTGACCATCATTAATCAAGGGTGTAGCAGGAACCTATGCTTAGGGTCTTCCTCCCCCTTTGACCATATGCTAATCAAGGGTGTTAAGTCCCTAGCTGTAGTGGGAATCTACTCTTTCCCTCTTTCCTTGATCTGTAGGTCCCTCTTTCTGTGGTGCATTTCCTGCCTTAACTGATCAGACTAAGCTGTAGAATGAGGATTGTAGCAGCAATGTGTTACTGATTGAAATGTCTGTTGAGAACTTCCTGACCACAGGATTAGGACGGCGGGTATCCTGCCTCAAGGTGAAACAAATGGTAGAATTATCCTTGGAAACAGCCACTTGACCATGATGTAAAAAGTCTGTGCCAGAGCTTGTGAAGGCTTCTGTATAAATAAAGCAGACAGCTTTTTTGCATTGTCCATTATGATCCTGAAATTGTAGAGGTCTGTTTCTTTTCTACGCCTAATCCATGCACTGTTCTCAAGTTGTGAACTCGGCTGGAGCTGGACTCCGGCAGAGAAGTTCAAAACCAGTTTCACCTGATCCAAGTCAGACTCCAGTCCTCAGGCTGCAGTCCACTTCCTGCTTCTGTCCCATGACCCCTCTTCCGTGGTAGTTTCCCCTGTCTTTCACAGGGACATTGGCGAGCACAGATAATCGAGGACAACATCCCCATCTGAAGATCTGCCATTTGATGATAAAGATTTGTTCTTTTTAAATGGAACCGGATCATCAAAGGCTCCAGGAAGGGGGGACCAGGTGTCTGTAAGAGGCATCATTCAGGAGCAATGCTGTTGGCAGTGGAGAGAAGTCCTGGGTTTTAGTGATCACACCCAGGGACACAGAGCACAAGGAGGAAGCCACCATACAGAGCCTTGGATGGCAGGCCCAGGAACTCACCTTTGACTCTGGGTCAAAACCAGAGTGGGGACCTGGTTGAATTTGTAGCCCAAACAAGTCATGGTCTGTGGACGGCTTTAGACAAACTGATTTCACCAGCCAAGCAAATGCAGGAGATACTCGGGGTCTGGGCAAGGCATGAACAGAGAGATGGAAAGAAATGACGCATGCATGCTATGTGGTCCGTTTGAATTTGGGGACAAGAAGAAAATGAGAAAGAAGAGGTGCACACCACGTTCCAAGCTCAAGGGGTCAGGGGGACAGGACTTGGGAGGAAACTGATGAGTTTGGTGTTTGAAAAAGCACAGTGAGAGGTTCCCTGGTGGCTGGCCCAAGGGGTGACTCAAGGGGCCACCGGTGTTTCCTGAGCCAAGGATTAGCAGGGATTATCGGCAGGATCCAGGAAGCAGAGCAGTGAGTCTCTGTAACTCGTCTCTCCGGATCTGGCTGGGACCTCTGAGCTGTGTGCTGGGTGATCTCCTAGGGCCCCAGCTCAGGGCACGCCTCTCAGCGGTTCCAGCAGGCTCAGTTCAGCCCAAATAGGGGTTCTGGCAATTCCGGTTGCACGGAGCCCTTCTTCTTTGCCACCTGCAGGCCCCCAGCAAGTTAAGGCAGGCCAGGGATAGACATGCAAGCAGCTCACATGACTGAGCCCAGACCCAGAATCACAGGTCACCAAGGCTTGTTGGGGATCTGTCATTTGGGTACAAACCCTAGCCATGCTTGCTCTACTTCTACATTCCACTGACAGCCGGGGCTCCTGTGTGCAGGGGGATGAACTGCCTCTGACACGGCCCCCTGGCTCTCTGTCCCCGTTCTGGGGGCGCCGTGGGCACTGTGCAAAGGCCGCCGAGCCGGGAGCTGCCGGGGGACCCCGCGCCCCCAGCCCAGGCAGCGGAAGGCGCGGGCGCACGGCGGCGGCGCAGGCGGGGCGGGGCGGGGCGTCCGGGGCGCACCTCCCCGGGGCGGGGCGCGGGCGAGGGCACCGGGCGCCTCGGCGAGAGCGCGCCCAGCCCCGCCGCGATGCCCGCGCGCTCAGGACGCCTCCTCCCGCCCGCGGCCCCCGCCGCGCTGCTGCTGCTGCTGCTGCTGGACCATGGCGGCCGCTGGGGCGCCCGGGCGCAGGAGGCGGCGGCCGACGGCGAGCACCGGGAGGACCCTCACTCCAAGCACCTGTACACGGCCGACATGTTCACGCACGGGATCCAGAGCGCCGCGCACTTCGTCATGTTCTTCGCGCCCTGGTAACGAGCCACGCGGCCGGGCCCCCGCCTGGCGCCCTGCGCGCCCCCGGCGGCCCGGGCCAGCGGGGTCGGGGAGGGCGCGCGGGGACACCCCGTGTCCCGGGCCGGGGGCGCGTGGGCGCTGCGGGCTCAGGGCCGAGGGGTGCCGCGGGGGCCCGGGCGCATGGGCGCTGCGGGCCGGGGGGCGTGGGCTCCGAGGGCCGGCGCTGGCCGCTGACGTGGCGCTGGGCGGCCGGGGCGGTGCGGGAGCGGAAACCGGGAAAGGGCGTCCACCGGCCGTGCTCCGTCTCTGCAGCTGCCCTTCGCCCCTCTGCTTCGGGCCCGGCCAGGAGTGTCGTGGCCCGTTAGTGCTGTCACCCGGCCGGCTGGGCGACTCAAACTTCAGAGCCGGCCGTGTCTGGGGCCCACGTGCCCTCGCCGGGGAGGGACCTTCCACCGGCCACGGGAGTTGGCTGTGCATCCTCGAGGGGTTACGTGAAGTGTGCTTTGTGGGGTGGAACGGGCTGGGCTGCAGAGGAGTCCAGCAGACAGCCCACAGGAGAATGGGGTCTCCTAAGCCCGAGCCCACCGTCGCCACCTTCCTGGGGAAGTGGGAGGGGTGAGGAGGCGCCTGTCCTGCCCGGGGTGCAGCGTGGGCCTTGCCACGCTAGCCGGGGAAGTGACTTAGAGAGGGCCGCCGTCCTGCTGGAGCCGCGGGCCCCAAGGCGAGAACGTTCTCCTGTGTGGGAGCCGGACAGAGAGCTGCGGTTTCAGGACACCAGGCAGGACTGGGGAGGAAGAGCGGGTGCTGGGAACGCTCTTCCGTTTTGCACATTTCCCGGAGGTTCACTGAAGGAGATGGAGGCAGGGAGAAAAAGTACGTGAAGACAGCTGGTCTGTTGGGAAACAACCTTGCCTTTTGAAGTGCTGCTGAGAGGTTGTGGCTGTGGAGCCCTTTGGTTGCTTTGGAGGAGTCAGGTGGAGGTTAGGGGCTTCTGCCCTCAGTCAGCATTTGTTAACAATGTGTCGAGATTGTGTCCCCCAGTCTGGGGAACTCACTACTTGTCGTTTTGCTGGCACCAGTGGCACAGGAAGTGTTGTTAGCATAAAACAGTCCACAGATGCAGTGAACACAAGTATTCAGAGTAACTGTGCGGTGGTCCTTTGGGGAGCCAGGATGGTTGGCATCTGTAGGTTTTGCTTTTTCTGAAGTTGCTGTGGAGATGCAGCGAGGCCCTGTGATGCCCTGAGTGGAGTTTAACTGGGGGTCTGTGCTAGCCCTGGGCTGTGAGTCTGGCACGTCTGGGCATTTGGTGGTAAAGAAGTTTTATTTCCTTGTGTGTAGCCCACAGATGGTCTGGGTGTTTGGGTGGCTGGTCTCAGGAAAAGTGTTGTGATTTTTAGTATGACTTAAGAAAAGAAATACTTATTTGGAAGAGTTACATAGAGAGGGAAGGAAAGATACCTTCCATCTGCTGGGTCATCCCTCAGATGGAGGCAGGAACCCAGACACTTAGGCTGACCTCAGTTCTTCTCAGGCCACAAACAAGCCGGTTGCAAAGTGGAGCAGCTGGTATACCAACCGGCGCCTCTATGGGATGCCTGTGTTATGGGCAGTGGTTAAGCAGGCTCATCCTCTGCCTGTGGCACCAACCTCCCGTTTTGGCACTGCTTTGAGTCCGGGTCGCTTCACTTCCAGTCCAGCTCCTTGCTCATGTTCTGGGAGAGCGGCTGAGAATGGCTCAGCTCCTTGGCCATTAGGAGACCCAGAGGAAGCTCCTGTCTTAAGCTCAGCTCCAGCCGTTGCCGCCACCTGGGGAAGGAACCAGCTGATGGAAGACCGCTCTCTCTGTCTCTCCTTTTCTGTAAAACATGCCCTTCAAATAAATAATAAAAAAGGATCTACTTATTTGTTATTTGAAAGGCAGACTTAGAGGGCGAGACAGAGACCTTTGATCTATAGTTTTATTCCACAAATGGATACAATGGCCAGGGCTGGCCAGGCTGGAGCCAGGAGCTCCATCTGGATCTCATGTGAGTGCAGGAGTCAACGCACCTGGGCCAGCTGGGCCGTCTTCGGCTTTGCCAGGTGCTTCTCTCAAGGCCACTTGAGCCGTCTTGCCACAGCACCAGACCCGAGTAACTAGGTTTTTATTTGCTTCTTTAGTAGTCTGCAATCTACTAGGTGTGTTTAAACAGATGTGTGTCCTCCATGCTGGAGTTTTAAAAGTAGGCTTGTTAGGAACAGTTTGGAGCTCAGCTGGAATCCATGTGAGCTGTCCACACATCTCTGTAGCTTTGGCTGCTGTGAAAGGGTGAAACCTCCGTGTGATTTGGGGACAGGGACACTGTGTTGCAAAAACATCGATCTGCAGATTTTTGTCCTGAACTTGGCAGGCATGGGGCTGTCCTGCTGCTGTTGGTGTGAGGCCTGTATCAGGTCAGTTTCTTGATGGGCAGTGTTTGAACCACACTGAACCTGGTTGCAGGGAGGTCAAGGTTATCAGCAGATGTCTTAGCCCTGCCTCTTGGTCCATAGGCCTAACTGCTGAGTGCTGCTGGCCCCAGCCAGCACCTGCAGACCCATCACAGGCAGCAGGTGGGGGGAGGTGTGCCCAGCTCAGTGGCAGTTCAGGGGGTCTGTTTGGATTCAGTGCTCAGTGAATGGATTTGTTACCCTCCTTCAGCGCATCTCAGCAGTTCTAGCAAGGGTACAGATGAGCTCTCAAACTCCACAATGAGCATTTCTGACCAGTTTGTTCCTGCAAGACCTTTGGGGCAAGTGCCGCTACGGTCACCCTGGAAGTCCCCTCGCCAGGTTTTCCTCCAGCAGTAGGATGGGTCCTGGCTGCTTTGGTTCGTTGTCAGAGGTACCCACCGTCCAGGCCGTGTGTACAGGCAGCAGCGTCACATGGCCCGTGGTGAGGGGCATGCTGGACTCGAGGTCAGCTGAGCAGCAGGCAAGCCACATGCCCCGTTGTGTGTATGCTTGGGGCTTCTGTGGAACTGGGCAGTTGTCCCCTCACCCCCTGCCTTCTTGCAAAACTCGGTTTTTCGAATCTACAGACATTAAGCCACATATGCAACCTGACTGTGCTGTTTGGCATTCATTTTGCTAAGAATTGGCCAGGCTCTGGGAGCACAGTGGTGAACGTGAGAACCCTTGCTTCCTTGGCCTTAAATGCAACACTGGCCTTTCCTTTGCCATTATCTCCTAAAAAGAGGGAGTTACTGTATTGGACTCTCCCACAGACAAGGGCAGAGGGATGCAGTGTGGGACATTGCTCTGGGGAAGAACTGACAGTTATATGCCTTGAGTATTGACAAACAAGCATTTTAGTCTTTTGAAAGATCGCTCCAAGAGGCAGTGCAGGGGTAGACATGAATGTGTGCTTTGGGATAAATGCAGAAGAACCCATGTGCCATATTGCTGTGTGATTGCACTTGAGGCCTGGGGTAAAGTTTACAGTGTTGTCGCATAGGGAAGGCCAGTGTGGCCCTGGGGTCAGCTAGCACGGAACTAGAGGATCTACTGGCTGATTCAGGCAGCTCTAGGGGAAGGCAAAGGGGAAGGGCGGAGAAGGATGACGTGGCAGGAGGTGGTAATCTCAAGTAATTAACATTGTAACCAATAGGTGACTTCAGACTCTGTAGGTAACTATGTTTGCACAACACACTCAACAGGTGTTTAATTATAACCAACCTGGGTGTTTGGGTAGCCATTGAACCTTTTTTTGCAACTTCTTAGAGAAAATGCAGAATTGATGGACTTCTGACGTTGCCTTGTGCTCATGGGTGTCTGCTTGTATGGTCAAGGCCTGACAGCAAAGCAGCAGTTACAATAAGAAGTGCCAAGCTGCTGCTGGAAAGGGGGAGTGAGGAACTCTCCAGAGAGGAGAGGAAGAGAGTGAGATTTAACAGGTGGGAATCAGGGCAGTCCTGTTGGAGAAAGCGACAAGCAAGCTAGGGATTTATCCAATGGAGTTTAATGTCAGTATGGCAGAGTCTCGGGGAAAATCCAGGGTGTGTGGGGAATGCTCGGGAGACAGCACGGGGAGCGGGGCATGTGCTGGGGTGGGCCTAGGGGAGCGACCAGCAGGGGCCAGGTCAGGGGGAGGCCAGAACAGTGCCTGGCTCGGTTTCCATCTGGTGTCAGTTCTCTGTAGGGCTTAGGTGGGGAGTGGTGTGAAGAAAAGGCCTAGAGCCAGGGTCCAATGGTAAGTCCTGGCGTGGTGCTCAGATACCCTGGCATCTGACACTTGTTCCTCTCACCCTGTTACAGGTGCGGGCACTGCCAGCGACTGCAGCCAACTTGGAATGAGCTGGGAGACAAGTACAACAGCATGGAAGATGCCAAGGTGTTTGTGGCCAAAGTGGACTGCACAGCCGACTCAGAAGTGTGCTCAGCCCAGGGCGTGCGTGGCTACCCCACGTGAGTGAGGAGGGGGGCTGCTCCTGGCTTTCCCCCTCTGCTGGCGACTCACCTTTGGCCTGAGGAAGTCCCAACTTGCTGTGTAGTTCTGCTGTTAGTGTTGCAGAGAGGCTGAGCTCGGTTTTATGTCACGTCTGTTTTAGAGGCCTTTTGTATTCCCCTTGGAGGAAGTGTGGACTTGTTGTTGGAGATGGAGACCACTTGTAGGACAGTCACGGGGTCTCTTGCCCCGTCCTCCTTCCACGGTGTGCACAGAGTCTGCCGTGTCCGGTTGGTCCGTGCATGCCAGGCGAAGGGCAGACCTGGAACGAACCAGTCACAGTTCTCATGCCTGGCCCCACCTGTTCGTGGATAGTGAAGCGAAAGCCAACACTGGCCTGTTCAACCAAAGAGGGGTCGGTGAAGAGGCCAGGGGAGGCTCTTGAGGCGCAGCCCCAGGGCTGAGGGCATCTTTTTCTCTACATTCCCTGTTAAGTTGCTTAACTCAGCAGGTAGCGCCTGTGCTCCCATGGATAGATGTGAGCTCACTGCCGGGCCCTGCTAGGGTGGAGCAGTCACTTCAGGAACCGGCACAGTCGGGGGAGGCTTCATCCTGGGGGGACAGCAAGCCTGCCGGGGCCAGTGGACATGTGGAAGGGAAAAGCAGTTCTTTTTTCTTTCTTTCTCATTTGCTTCCCTTCCCTTCCTTCCCCTCCCTTCCTCTCCTTTCCCCTCTGTCCCTCCCCTTGCCTTTCACTCCTCCCCTCTTCTTTCTTTCCCTCCCATCCCCTCTTCTCCCTTCCTTACCCATGTCTTCCCCTCCTCTCCCCTTCCTTCCAGAGTCACAGCTGGTGGGGATTTGGGGAGACAGAAGCAGAGTTTCCATCCTCTGGTGTTCCCTCCCCAAATGGCCAGGACCCAGAAACCTCTTCCCTGTCTCCCACGTGGCTTTAGGGCCCTAAACACTTGGGCCATCTTTTGCTGCTTTTCTATGTGCATTAGCAGGGAGCTGGATGGGAAGCAGAGAGCTGAATTGAAGTCTTATAGTTCATTACTTGAATAATAGAGCGAACCATCAATTAACTCTACAGTCAGGACTCATGTTAAAACCTGTGAGGTGGGCTCTGTGCAATACCCTAGTGGCTAAAGTCCTCACCTTGCCAGGATCCCATATGGGCGCTGGTTCTAATCCCAGCAGCCCCGCTGGATGGGGACCCCATCTAGCTCTTTTCTTGTGGCCTGGGAGAACAGTCAAGGATGGCCCAAAGCCTTGGGATCCTGCACCAGCGAGAAACACCCAGAAGAGGCTCTGGACTCCTGGCTTTGACTGGCTCAACTCTGGCCATTATGGCCACTTGGGGAGTGAATCTTTGGATGGAAGATCTTCCTCTCTATATATCTGACTTTCCAATAAAAATAAGTAAATCCTTAAAAAAAATCTGAGACAGTGCATGAAGGTGGGGGAATCTCTGGACTGAATGTCCCAGCCATGGTCAGGTCCAGGTGCTGCCAGTGAAGTCCCCTGTGGTTCTGGCTGAATCCTTTAGCCTGTGTGAGAGTCGGGTAGGGTAGGTGCTGTCCCACATTGCAGTCATGCTGTAACTGTGTCAGCACCAACGCAGCATACCCAGCAAAGGTCAGGAAAGGTTTGACATTCCTGGTAAGGGGCCCCAAACCCGCAGGCTTTGATGGCTGCTTGTTCATCTGTGCACCCTTATTTGAGCCTCATGCTGCATAGCAGGTCTTTGAAGTGAGCTCCCAGCAAAGTAGGTGGGCGGTGGGGAGGAGGGGGTGAGGCAGCGAGGGCGCTGCTTTGCTGCTGGGAACCTGTGACTCCAGGAGGCGTAGACAATGTAGACTGGTTGGCACTGGTGTTTGTCCACTCTTAAATGGCCGTCTGTGTCAGCCACAACCCACAGGATCCTGACAGGGCCAAGAAGAGCGTGGGCTGTGCAGTTTCCAATAGGGAAGTGAAGGGCTCCACCTGAACCTGGTGGCAAGCACCCTCTGGCTGTGGCATCACTTCCTCCCCAGACGCTGGTCGCTCGCTGGGAAAGGTTCATGTCAGACCCTGTGTCTCGATACACGGGGGAGGTTTAGTCCTCCCAGGGGACATGAGCTCTAGTGTGATGGTGTCACAAAGAGTGAAAATGAGCTCATGCTAGAGTGGACGTGGCCTGGGAGGGTTACCCGTGACCCCCCGGCTGGCAGAGGTATCTAAGCATACAATGCCGGGGGCCAAGCGTGCCGAGTCACTAGCAGTCCGGTTGGAGCTGGCTTGCGCGTTTGCTGGTGTGAGCTTTCACTTCTGCTAGAGCATCCCGAGCTGGCCCAGGGGCTGCTGTGGCCTTTGCGCAGAAAGCCAGCAGGTGGGAGCTCCCTCTTTGCCTCTCAAATCCTTTTTTTTTTCATGTCATGCGTAATTTTCCACAGTGCTTGTGAAATCCCCTTTGTAGCAGAATTTCATGGTTTAATGGTGAAGCCTCTGGCCAGGTGGGGACTCCCGTGCAGTCTCCTTGAAGCAGAAATTTCAGGAAAGGTTTATTGATGGCAGGAGAGTCAAGCTGTGGTTGGGACCTGGGTCCCCGGGCCCAGTCTCCATCCACAGCAAGAGCTGAATTGAGTGTCTCTTCCATTGGGAAGGTCTGTGATGCAAACTCCAGCTCCATCCTTGTCTGAAATGTCTGAATGGGACAAGTTGGGAAGATTTTCAATCCAGTAATAAGGAGAAGCTTGTTTGTTTCAAAGATTTATTTACATTTTTTTGGAAAGAGTTACAGAGTCAGGGAGAGAGAGAGAAATCTTCTACCTGCTGGTTTCCTCCCCCCATAGCTATACCAGCCAGCATTGTGAGGCCAAAGCCTGAAGCTTCATTTGGGTGCAGGGACCCAAGCACCTGGGCCATCCTCCACTGTTTTCCCAGGCCATTGGCAGGGAGCCGGATTGGAAGTGGAGTAGCCGGGATTCGATCCGGTGTGCATCTGGAGGTGCTGGCATTGCAGGTGGCATCTGGTTACGAGCTCACAGTGCTGGTTTCAGGACAGACACTTTTTTTCCAACTTTTTTGTTTTGCTTAGTACATACCAAAGCAGAAAAATTACAGGCTAGACAGATCTTACTGGATTTAAAACATTTTACTTATTTTCATTGCATTTGAAAGGCAGACAAATTTTCCATTTGCTGCAACAGCCAGAGCTGGGCCACACTAAGCCAAGCTCTGCAGGCATCACCTACCACCTCCCTGGGGCATGTGAGCAGGTGCCTGCGTCACATGGTGGAGCTGGAACTTGAATCTAGGCTTGCTAGTGAGGCGTGTGGCATCCCAAGCCGTACCCGAGCCTCTGTCCCAAACGTTTGCGCCTCCTGAGTTTCTTTAAAATAATGATTGACCACAACCACCAGTGCTGCCTTTTTATTGTTATTATTTTAATTTATTTTACTTATTGGAAACACTGAGACAAAGGGAGATCTTCTGTGCATTGGTTCACTGAACAAATATGTGCAACATGAGGCTGAGCCGGGCCTAGCCAGGAGCCGGGAACTCACTCCAGGACTTCACATGGGTGGCAGGGACCCCAAGTCCTGGGTCACTTCACCGGTCATGGGGAGAACTTGCAGAAAAATGCCCAGGATTCTGGAGGTGGGCACTGAACACCTGCAGCTAGTGGTAAATCTACAGCAGGAGGCTGCAAGGCTTCTACCTCACTTGTAGTTCCTTGGATGACGTCAGAAGCTCCTGGAAGTTGAGAATGACATGAAAACATCACATGAGGACACTTTTATTGCATTCGGGTTTTATTGGAGGGTGGCAGCTGACATTGGCTGCAACCCTACTGGGCTTCTCCGGCCGCTCCCTTAGAGTTTGTGCCTGCTGAGACCATGGTCTCAGCTCCCAGCAGTGAGCACTGCGTGAAAGATTCACACGCTCTCATCTTTTGTCACTCTCTTCCAGCCTTAAGTTTTTCAAACCTGGCCAAGAAGCTGTGAAGTACCAGGGCCCTCGGGACTTCCAAGCCCTGGAGAACTGGATGCTGCAGACGCTGAGGGATGAGCCTGCGGTGAGTGCGTGGAGCAGGGCAGAGGCCAGTGGACCTGAAAACCATCCTTTTCTAGAACTCTGTGATGCTGGAAGGGAAAGTTGATTGTCAATAAGATGATTTGAAAGGCAGAGTGACATGGAGAGACAGACAGATTGAGAGAGGTCTTCCAGTTGCTGGTTGCCTCCCAGGCCTTAACAGTGGGGCAAGGCCAGACTGAAGCCAGGGGCCTGGAACTCCACCCAGGTCTCCTACGTGGATGCAGGGGCCAAAGACTTGAGCTGTCTTCCACTGCTGGTCCAGGTGCATCAGCAGAGCCGTATCAGAAGCAGAGCAATTGGGGTCGGCTTAGTAGTACAGCAGGCTAACCCTTTGCTTTCAGGGCCAGCTGCTCCTCTTCCAATGCAGTTTCCTGCTTAAGACTTGGAAAGCAGTGGCAGGTGACTCAAGTGCTTGGGGCTCTGCACCCATGTGAGAGACACGGAAGAAGCTCCTGGCTCTTGGCATCACATCAGTTCAGCTCCTGCTGTTGCAGCCATTTGGGAAGTGAACCAGTAGAAAGATTTCTTTGTCTTTCCTCTCTGTAAAACCTGTCTTCAAGTAAAAATGAATAACTCCTTAAAAGAAAGCAACTAAGATTTGAGCCAGGCTTCTGTTACAGGATGCCAGTAAAGTTAATTTTTACATTTTATTTTTTAAATATTCACTGGTTTATTTGAAAGGCAGAAATAGGGATACAGACTTCTGTCTGCTGGCCCACTGCCCAAATAGCCATGTAGCCAGACTGGTCCTGGTCGAAGCCTGGAGCCTGGAACTCCATCCATGTCTTCCCTGTGGTATATTAACAGGTAGCTGGAACTTGAAACATGTGGGATACCAATAAAGTGAAAATTTTAAGAACAGTTGTGCAAACACTCCAGTGTGCACAGCAGAGAGAAGCTTCCAGTTACCAGGGATCCACCACCCTTGTCCCCCTGACCTCTTGGGCTGTAGTTCTCTCCACTGCTTCTGGAGTTGCTGCTGGGAGTGTGCGTTTGGTTGAAATTGTGACCATACACCCCTGATGACGTGTCGCTTTGTGAGCAGAGGAGGGCCGCGAGGCTGGCTTAGGCTTGCTGCATGTGTAGGACGCGAACAGGTGGCAGCACTTCCTGCTGCACGTGGCGATGACACGAGTGACTGCTGCCGTGTGTGAATGCAATTTCACAGTCATTAAACTGAGACTTCTCTGTCGCATCTGCTGGCCTGTGAGCCTGTGGGGACCCGGCAGCCTTTGAGGCCTGTGCCATCATCCGAGGTGCCCGCGTGACGCTGCAGCTCCCGTGCAGCTCGGTCCACACTCTGTTGTCTGTGGGAATCAGAAACAGCTGCTACTATTACTCACGTAGAAACCCTCTTGAGCTGGGAGGAGACGGACTTGGGTACATGGCTTGAATAAACATTAACCAGAGTCTCAACTAATTTTAGGTAGCAGGGAAAGCCACAGACCTCTTAAAGAAGAAATTTGCATTTGTGTCGTGAGAAGAAAGCTGGGTGAACAGGTGCAACTTTCATGCGAGTTTAAACTTGGCGCTCTTTTCATTATGAAAGTACTCTTGCAGGAGAACAGTATCAATCAGGAAGAAACTGGAGAAGCAGAAATAGCCTCAAAGGACACTTTATTCTGACACTTGTCACCTGAGGAGCCAGCTTTGTCAGTATCCAGGTGGCAGGAAGATTCTGTCTGAGGGTAGACTTCTGGAAACTGGACACGTCTCTTTATGGCCAAAATGGCAAATGCACAAAAACACACAGGTGGGGGACAGATGGTTCCCCTCATCCAAAATGGGCCAGACATGTTTCAGATCTTGGACGGTTGTTTATTTTTTTTAAATTGGAAAGGCACATTTTTACAGAGAGGAGAGGCAAAGAGATCTCCTCTGGCTCACTCCCTAAATGGCTACAGTTGTCAGAACTAGACAAATCCAAAGCCTGGAGCCAGGAGGTCTCCTCAGGGTCTCCCATATGGGTGAAGGTCCCAAGGCTGTGGGCCATCCTCGACTTCTTTCTGAGACCACAAGCAGGGAGCTGGTTGGGAATTGGAGCAGCCGGGACATGAGCTTCTCCAAATGGGATGCCTGAGCTTGCAGGTGAAGGATTGGCTAATTGAGGCACCGTGCTGGCCCCTCAGACAGCTTTTCTGATTGGGAATATTTGCGAGGACATATGTGAGATCTTGAACATGGGAGCCACTTGTAGACAGAATTTGTTTAGGTTTTGTGTACACCTGGGGCACATAGCCCAAAGGGTGATTCCACACAGTATTTTTAGTGCACATGCGAGTTGCTTTCTGCCCGTGGCCATGGGACATCCGGTGTCACATTTTCCAGTTGTCATCCCACCAGTGCTCAGAACAAGTTTGCATTTTGGAACATTTCAGGTTAAAGATGCTCATTCTGTCAATAAACCAAGAGTTCTTTGCAACTTGAATTTGGATTTTTAAGTGAAAACTTGGGAGTACAGAAGAATTTAAAAATATATATTTATTTCTGAGAGTTCAAAAGGAGAGGTAGAAAGAGATTAATTTCCCACTTGCTGGTTTACGCCCAGGATGGTTGCAGTAGCCATGGCTGGGCCAGGAGCCAGGAGCTTCATCCGCATCACCTGTGTGGCTGATAGGAGCCCAAACACCTGGACCACAATCCACTGTTTTTCCCAGGTTCCCAGCAGGAAGCCTGCTATCCCACGATGCCAACCCATGATGATATTGCAGCACATAAAGTTGCAAGGCCAAACAGCAGCATTGTTGTGGTTCTTGATTACTTTCTAAAGACATGTTGGCTTACACTGTCACCAGCTGGGTGAGAGTGTGGCTTTGCTGGGACAGAGCGTAGTACAAGACTACTTGAGAAGGCTCCGGGGAGATAAAATGAGTTAGTAAGTTTAGGGAGTGAGTTAGGATGTCCACGCTCCCCATCCCAATACCTTGTTCCACTTCCTGCTAGTGCAGACCCTGAGAGGTAGCAATAATGCTTTGTTTTAGTGGAAAAAAAAGTCCAATATTCCTGCATTAAGGTTTCCACAAAAAGTTCATGGAAAATATATAGTATGAAAAAACTGCATGGATGTAGAAAGATTTTGCACCTGAATAATAATTATTTATTTGAAAGAATATCAGAAAGAATGTTCCGTTCGTTGGTCATGCCAGTTGGGGCTGGGCCAGCCGATACCGGCAGCCAAGATCTGCATCTGGGTCTCCCTCCTGGGTGGCCAGAGCCCAAATCCATGGGCCATCGACGGCTGCATTTCAGGTGCATCAGCAGGAAACTGCATCAGAAGTGGAGCAGCTACTGCTCCAGTATGGGATACCATCACTCCACGTGGCGGCTTAAGCTTCTGTGCCACAACACCACCATAAACGTAGTTAGTTCCATTTCTCCATGACCTTGGGGAGTACTGTTATCTTTAGGGTCTGCCTTGGTGGCTGCTGAGTGGCACAGGAAGCACAGTGCCCCTGTCAGTGCCAATGATGAACCTCTCCTGGTGCCGCTGAAAATGGTTTGAACAGCCAACAAGGGATGACACGGGCTGTCTTACCATGGCTGCTTTGGACTCACTGACCTGTGGTTTTGCAGTTGTTTTGGGTGAGTGTTTGGACAGGCTAGCAGCAGAGGAAAGCTCCGTGCTCCAGGAGCACAGCTTTGCCTGGTTTGAGCTGCACACTCCCCAAGCCTCAGATGTTTGAACCTGCATATTTTAAAGAAGAATCTGACCCTCCAGATAAACAGTGGAGCAGTGTGCACCCTGCATGTGCAGCGGGCGGTGACCCAGCGCCCTTGCTTTGCTTGAGGCTTCTTTGGTTGCAAGCTGCAGCTGTGCCTGGGCCGAAGCACAGACTGAGAAATGTGTGAAGTCAAAGCTCAAAAGGAGAGACAGATTAATTTTCCATTTGCTAGTTTACTCCCAAGATGGTTGCAGTAGCCATGGCTGCGCCAGTCTGAAGCCAGGAGCCAGGAGCTTCGTCCAGCTCTCCTGTGTGGCTGGTGGGGGTCCTGGTTACTGTGCGCAGTGTGGTCTGCTCCTGACCTGAAACACAGATTGAGGAATGTGTGATGCTGTGGTGCCCTGGTCGCCACGCCCACTGGCGTCTGCTCCTGGCCTGGGTCACTCAGCAGGGCTGGAGCAGTGGTATAGTGGACAGAGCTGCCACCTGTAATGCCAACATTCTAGACAGGTGCTGGTTCCAGTCCTGGCCACTCTGCTTGCAATCCAGCTAATGTTCTGGGAAGGCAGTGGAGGACGGCCCAAGTGTTTAGGCTCCTGCGCCCGCATGGCAGACTTGGAAGAAGCTCCTGATTTGGGGCTCTCAGCCTTAGCCATCGGGGACCACTTGGGCAGTGAACCAGCAAGTGAAAATCTCTTTTTCTCTCTTCTCTTTCTGATTCTTACTTTCAAATAAGTAAATACATTTTTAAAAAAAGAAAAAAAAACTGCAGTCGCTTGCCCACTTGGCTGTGTGTCTGTCCCGCTCAGTGTGTGGGTTGTGATTTCCTGAAGGCACAGCCCATGGCCAACCCAGGGCCTCTCCTTGTCTCTCGTTCTCCCAGCAGCCTCCTGCCTCGCTCTCGGGTCCGGCTTGGCACAGCTCAGCTCCTCCTCTCGCAGGTTTCCCCACCAACTGTGCTCCTGAGGTTCTCTGACTCTCAGCTGTGCCCATGTTGCTGGCTTTTGTCTCCTTAGCAAGCTGCTGGGCACTCCCACGCTCTGTGTGTTGTGCCATCTCCGTTCAGCTTTCCAGAAGAGGCAGGCTTTGGGGCAGTGGGGGGACTGCCCTTGGATCTGTTAGCTTTGTGTTTGGTTGGGTCTTGAATGGGGACGGGGGCTGGCGGGGAGCTGGCTGCTGAAGCTTTCTGTCCCAGCTTCCCCTGAGTGGCAGCACCCTTGGGAGGCCCCACACCGAGCCTGGTTTTCCTGACACCCCCGTGACAGTTGCGTTGCTTCTTCCCATCAGACGCCAGCGCCACAGGTGGAACCGGCCCAGGCTCCCGAGCTCAAGCAGGGGCTGTATGAACTGGCGGCGAACAACTTCGAGCAGCATGTCGCACAAGGTAAGGGCGGGTACCTGCTGGGAGGGTGCTGCCAACCACATTTTTCCTTCTTGCCACCCAGTGTTGGCAGCTCTGTCCTGTGGGACCCCTCAGCCTCCCCTCTTGGATGTGGTCTCTCTACCTTATCCTGGGCGCTTTCAACCACCCCAGGTCTAAGCAAAGCAAAAGGAAAAAACCTTCATGGGTTGGAATCCAGAGCTCCGCTGTGGCGAGCAGGCCGGTGCGCAAGGACCCGAATGATTGACATTCCCCCTCCTCTCTGGTGTGAAACTCACGCTGCCCCTGTGCACTCACACGGAGCTTAGTGGGACCCCAGTTACCCCAAACCCCATGGGATCTTCCTTACATGTGACACACCTTCCCAAGTCACATCTTGGCATTGGCTGGCACACTGTTCCATGTCGTAGCCTCTGCAGTGAGGGCTACATGGACCTCTTTACCCCTTTACCTGTGGGCAAGTCGTGGAAAGGGCTGTCCCCCCCCAGCCCCGGGGACTGCTCCCTCACCACACATACCATTGCAAATGGGTCATGGCCAACCCCTCAGCCTTCCCTATTGTTGGGAAAAGCTGTGCTTTTCTTCATAAATTAGAACCTCTCTACGTTCTGCCATCCGGGAGACCTGTTTCGGCTGGAGACTGACGTAGGCTCCCTCCCCATCTTGGTCTCCCTAAGCAAGCCGCTGCTGCTGGGGGGAGACCCTCCCTGGCTTGCTCCCAGGGACCCCCATCTCTTCCTTGCAGGCCCGGCTTAGCAGGGTGCTCTCTGGACCTTGCAGGGTGGCTGTTGTGATCTCACACACGTCCTGCTGCGGCCATGAGCCTGAGTGGGCACAGGCCAGGTGCACAACGGTACCTTATGCTCGGCTCCTGCCTTGACCACAGCCTCATCACAGCCTGCCCTCTGCCTGACATCGAAGTAAAACAGCCTCAGGACAAAATCTGCAAGGTCCTGGGAGTGCTGTTGGCAGGGTTTCATTTTTTCTATCTAGCTGAGGGTATGATAGGTTTTTTTTCTTGAATAAGAGAAAAAAAAAAAGTTGAAAGAGAAACAGATCTTCTATCTACTGGTTCACTCCCTAAGTGACTGCAATGTCCAGGGATGAGCCATCCAGAGCGGTGGAAGGTTGACCAGGTCCTTCCTGCCTTCCTGCCTTCAGCCCTCGGCCCGTGGTCAGTCACTCAGCGGTATGGGTGTTGGGGCCTGAGCACCTGGGTGCATCAGCATGGAGCTGGATCAGAAGTTGGAGCAGCCAAGACTCCAGCCAGCACTCAGTGGGGCACAAGGTCATAGCACCCCAATGCTAGCCCCAGCTCTCTTCCCAACCTTCTATTTTACGGTAAAACTAAATGCAGGCACAGAAACACAAATGTAGGGCTCAATGAACTGTCCCAAGGCAGTCACCCTGTCACTACTGTGCTTTTCAAGACATGAGTCTGCCGGCTGCTGGAGCTGCTCCATCCAGCTCTCAGTCCTCCCTCCCTCCCTCCCTCCCTCCCTCCCTCCCTCCCTCCCTCTTCTTGTCTTTTGCAGAAAGCACTACTTTTTGGGTATAATTTCATCACTCAAGTGTGTACTCCTCAGCTCTGAGGTTGAGTTTGGTCTTGTTCCTATACGGGAGGTTCCTGATTCAACTATTTTTTTTTCAACTTCACAGTGTGTTTTTCTGGTATCAAATACATTCTGGATATTTTTGACTTAAAGTAGGGATGTGGTTCCACTATAAGCCGAGGCGCTCCAGTGTCGCTCTCAGGAGGCCCTTTGGTTGTTCCTTCTTCCTTCCTTGTCCCGCCGTTGCCAAGGGCATAGACACGTAGAGGGCCCTGCGGTCTGCACTTGGCTGGTGGCATCCCCTCGGTGTGGCGTGCTGCTTGGGTGTGGGGACATCATCTCAACCTGGTATTTTCCAAGGCCCCAGGTGGTACGGCCTGCCTGGCTGTCTGCAGCCACTACCCAGCCTGTCCATTCGCTAGCTTTGTCTCCCTCTGCTCCTTCAGAGGTGGCCAGGTTTGGCTTTGAGCGGCGTGAGCCCCCTGAGGACGGGCGGAGACGTTTCTAGGGGAGTCACTTTATCAGTACCAGACTGAGATTTGCTAAGCAGTGGGAGGGCAAAGGCTCAATTCTTAGATCTGCAGCAAGAGACGATGTAAACCCTGTTCCCTTTTCTCTCCTTTCCCGCCCTGCCTTCGCTGTGCACACAAGGTGACCACTTTATCAAGTTCTTCGCGCCGTGGTGTGGTCACTGCAAAGCGCTAGCCCCAACTTGGGAGCAGCTGGCCCTGGGCCTTGAGCACTCTGAAACTGTCAAGATTGGCAAGGTAAGTGAAAGCCCTCGCGTAACTGGAGCTTAGCGGCTCTGGGCTGCACTCATTAACAGAGTGGCCCATTCTTCATTGTGAATGCAAGATCACAGAAGCTTGGTTTATGAATTCCACGGAGCGTGGCACTTGGTCATTCATCGTACCTTCACAGATGGCAGCCTGATTTTGAGATTTGCTGGTTTTTCCACAGCCCAGAGATAAATTACAGCCTTGGTCTCTGTGCTCATTTTGAAGAGCTGGCCAATCCCGAATTGGCAGCCCCAGAGTCTGTACCGCATAGATACGGGCTGGGGCTTGGAAAGTGTTCATTGATGAACTTAGAGGGCCTCTGCTTTGATCTCAGACCCAGGCTGCGGGGTTGTACACAGGCACGCAGATGCGGCTCCCGCACAGTGGGCTCAGGGCGTGCCATGGCTTGGGATGCTTTTCCGTGTCTCTCACTTTACACCTTAGAGCCAGAAGTGAGGTCTGACAGCTTAAGCGTAATGGGGTTTTTTAGGAAATCTGTAATTGTCTCTAGAACAGCTCAGGGTTGTTAAATACTATCCTGTCTTCTGCTGGAGGCGGCCAGAGAACTCCCACTCATTGTTTCACGCCCCCAAATTGTTGGCAGCAACCAGGACTGGGCCCGGCCATAGCTGGGAGCCCAGAGCGCAAGCCTGGCCTCCTCCAGGTGGCTGGTAGGTTCCCCAGCTACTGGAGCCAACACTTCCACCTCCTGAGGTCTGCATTGGCAGAAACCAAGAATGAGGAGCCGAAGCTAGGGCTTGAACCCAAGCACTCTGTTATGGGATGTAAGTGACTGAATTGCCAGGCAGTTTCATCCATTCTCTGGCTTTTACCGCTACTCTGTACAGTAACTGCATTAGCGAAGCTGCGTGTCTAGGATTGGCAGTTGGTCAGATGAACTTCCTTGACTGCATAGCAGTAGTCAGAAGTCCGATCCTGGAGTGGACTGGACGGCAGTGGACTAGGTTTTGCCATGCCTCTGCGTTCGCCCAGTTTGCAACCTGAGACAGCCCAGCCGTCCGGCCATGGAGCAGGCGCTGCGTGAATTGGACTCAGGATTGCTAGTGCTGGTTAAGGGGAATGGCCACCGTGGCTTGTCGGAGTCACAGGTTCTCATTAGATGGAAATGATTGCACAATAATCATCTGACATTGTCTCCTTAGGTCCTTACTTCGTGTTTTGAACATTGGTGGGAAATTCTGTAGTTTATATTCTTGGAGGTCTCCCAGCGGAGCCCGTGAGCAGAGGCAAGCCCGACTATCCCTGCAGGCCTCTTCCCCTCCCACGCCCCAGGCTGAGGCTTCCTTACTTCAGCTGAACAGTTAACTGCTCTCCAACTGTAGTTGGTTTGAAAAACTTACTTTGCTAATCCAGTGACAGCTTAGTCCTGCCTCACTGACTGTAATGCTGGTAGGAATTCCAAAAGGGATAAGTGACTTTGAAGAAAATATGTCACGGAAATGTTGGGCAGTTTCCCCTGAGATGTAAGTGAAACGGGGACTTTGGGCTATGAAAGTGTGCAAATTAGTGTCACAGATTGTAATGTTCACATCTTTAGTTTCACTTTTCTTATTTATTGAGTTCTTGCTCCCCTTCTCGCCTTTCATTATAAAAATATGAGCCGGTCCTTTTTTTTTTTTTTATAAAAAACATTTTATTTATTTGAGGGACAGAGGAAGAGAGACTGAGACCAACCAAGACAGAGGTCTCCCATTTCAGCGGTGCTCTGCCCAGATGTCCACAGTAGCAGGGGCTGGGCCAGACCAGGAACATGGAGGTCAGGCCAGGTCTCCCATCCGGATGCCCGGGATCCAAGCACTTGAGCCATCGGCTGCTCCCAGAGTGCTCCTTGGGAAGTAGAAGCAGACTCTGGTCCAGGCACTGGGGTGGGGACGTGAGCTTCTCAGTGGAATGCTAAGCACCGCACCAAGTGGTGGCCCCTAGAGACAGGGATTTCTCCCACTGCCTCCCATCCCGGAAGCCTACCGTGACCGGCCTGGCCAGGCCTCTGCCCTGAGCCACCCCCTCTTGCCTCCTCCCTTGGGAGCCATTAGCGGAAAGTTCAGATGTGCTGAACACCTCCCTAACGGTAGGTTTCTGAGTTGGGGTTGTAAGCCAAGGTGTACCCCACTCACCCACAGCCGTATCAGATCTCCTCCCCAGCCCCATCGCCCTGAGTGTCCGCCCTGGCTTACTTGGCTTCAGCCCTAACCTGCTCACATTAGAAATGTTGCTTCCTACCGGTTCGTGTCGTCATCACCCTGTACTTTAGTCCTCAGTGCTTAGGGCCAGCTTTTAGGGAAAGTCTCCCCAAACTACAGACTCAGGGTTCGCTCCTGCTTCCAGGTGGACTGCACACAGCACCACGAACTCTGCTCAGGAAACCAGGTCCGCGGCTACCCGACCCTGCTCTGGTTCCGGGATGGGAAGAAGGTACGTGGCGCTGGCTGCAGCCCCTTCCTTCATGCCGTGGGCTGAGATGCCAAGTGGTGTAAGTTACAGTGCTATCTGGTTTGGAACGTTGACCGGATCCTTGTCCGCCTCCCTGCCTTCAGCCCTCGGCCCATGGTCAGTCAGTCGGCAGTCCTCCAGGACAGCTCCTGGCAGACCTGCCACATTCTCTCACCATACCGAGGCGCCCTTCCCCGATAGACAGGAACAGGCCCGGGCCGCCCAGCAGCAGCATCATGTCTCCACAGGTCGATCAGTACAAGGGCAAGCGGGATTTGGAGTCACTGAAGAGCTATGTGGCATCGCAGCTGCAGAGACCAGAGGCTGCTGCACCGGAATCCAGCAAGCCCACTGAGGCCCCTGGGCTGGCCGCCCAGCCTGCAGCTGATACGGTAGGCACCTGCTGCCGGCCAGGAGACTGGCCGTGGCCCTTAACTCCTGTAACCCCTGGGGCAGAAGGAGCTCTTATCATCAGCTGTGCTGGGCTTTTCCTTCCTTCCTCCCTCCCTCCCTCCCCCACTCCTTCCCTTCCTCTCTTTCTTTTTTTTTTTGGAAAGATTTACTTGAAAAACAGTTAATAGTCTTTCATCTACTGGTTCACTTTGCAAATGGCCACCATGCCTAGAGTTGGGCCTGTCTGATGTGAGGAGCCAGGAGCTTCCTCTGGGCCTCCCCTGTGGTTGCAGGAGCCCACACTTGAGTGTCCTCTGCTGCTTTCCCAGGCACACTGGCAGGGAGCTGGTTGGGGAGTGGAGCATCTGGGACTTGAACCTGTGCCCATATAGAATACCAGCCCCTGTGGCTGCCTTTCCAATGAGGACATCTTTCCTTGCTCCCTGTTCCTACACACTCTGGGTGGTCAGCAGAACGGTCCTGGGACAGGTGTGAGGTGACGTTTGTTGTCACAGTCTTGAGCCTTCTTCCTGACTCAACAGTCCTTGGGATTCGCTGTGGCTCTGAGCTCCTGGCCTCAGGACCCCATTTCTGTCCCTCTCCATACCGCACTGTCCTCACTGCACTTTAACACAGTCTTATGGCAGAGGAGTCCTCTGGTGTGCTCAGGGCAGAGGCCCAAGGAGCTGGAGGGAGTGGTGGAGGATGTGAGCGCATAGCTGAGGTTGCATGCACTGTGTGAATGAGAAGCCCTGCAGGTCCAAGCTGTGTGAAGTGGGGTGCCGCCTTGGAGGGTCTCAGCTGTGTGAAGTGGGGTGCCGCCCTGCAGGTTCCAAGCTGTGTGAAGTGGGGTGCCGCCCTGGAGGGTCCTGAGCTGTGTGAAGTGGGGTGCTGCCTTGCAGGCTCCGAGCTGTGTGAAGTGGGGTGCCGCCCTGCAGGTTCCGAGCTGTGTGAAGTGGGGTGCCGCCCTGCTGGGACAAGGACAGCGGGGCCTGCCTGCAGCCCATTCCTTAGCCGGACACTCATAGGTCAGGGCTGGCTGTGGTGTATGTGCAAAGCTGCAGTCTTGGTTTAGGGAGTAAGCCCGCAATGTTGTCAGCACAATGAGCATACAGGCTAGAGAGGGGTGTGTGTCATGCTGGTTATAAAGGTCGTCCTAAATTGAGTGTAATTATATGGCACGGCTGTTTCACACAGCCATTCCTATTTATATCAAGGTTTCCAACATGGGGTGGGTATTTCTGGACATAAGTGTGTCGTGTTCCCCAGTGGCCCCACATGGCCTCAGAACCCCCCCATGCATGAGTTTCTGGGGGGCAGGTGCCAGTGGAGCAGCCCTGTGCTGGGTCCTCGTGTTCTTCATCGCAAGCAAGAGAGGTACACATAGAAAACTGTCAGAAGAATCTTTTTAAAGATCTATTTCCTTTATTTGAAAGGAAGGGTTAGAGAGGCAGAGAATCTTCCATCTGCTTTTCACCGCTGCAGCCATCAGGCACAAGCCAGGAGCCTAGAACTCCATCCCGGTCTCCCAGGTGGGTGGCAGGGGCCCAGGCACTCAGGCCACCTGCCTCTGCCTGTCCCAGGCACATTAGCATGGAAGGATGAGATTTGAGCTGGTGCCTATATAGGATACTTGTGTAATGGGCAGTGGCTTATTGCACTATACCACACCGCCAGCCCCAAGGCCATTGTCAGCCCCTCTCCTAGAATGGTCCAGCCAGAGCTCAGGGAAGCAGCTTTCCCATTTCCGTTGAACACCGATATGAGGGCCTGCTCTGAGTCAAGACACAGAGCGTTGCCTGTGATTACAGAAAGCTGAGCTGGGAGACATGAGATAAGCATGGGCAGAACAGTGAGGGGTCAGTGGGTCCTGGTGAATGCTGCTGGGACAGAGCCGTGCGTTCTCGGAGAGCATGCAGCCGCTCGCATTTTGGCTAAGACAGTGTCCATCTTGCATCACCCTGCCATTTCTTTGTGGCCACTGCTGGGCTCAGGACCTCCAGAGCCTGTGCTGGCCTCCTTGGCCTGTGCAATGTAAGTTGTGTGTATTTGCATGTGGCTTGGGAGCGTGTATAGAAACCAGCATTTCAGAAGTGACCAGTGTGTGTGTGCTGTCCCAAAGCCCAGCTTTGCCCTGCCCTCAGTGACAGACTGGTAACTGTGGCTCTCTCCTCCCCTCCAAGGGCGCCGTGCTGGCACTCACCCAGAAGAATTTCGACGAGGCTGTTGCAGAAGGAATCACCTTCGTCAAGTTTTACGCCCCGTGGTAAGTGGCTGCTGGTGCAGCATCAGCACACGCACGTTTTGGCTCATCCTGCACGTGGGACACGCAGGAGCGCTGAGATTCAGATCAGTTATGGTTCAGGGGGATTCCCAGTCACTTACAGGGAAGATGGCTATTTTTAAACCTCCTGCTACCTTGGAGAGCACAAAATGGCTGTGCAGTGCTCAAGTGCAATGGTCCTGCGTTTCTAAACCACAATTTTTATTGGGAAGAGCAACCATGAACACCATGTCTTAGCTTTGCTTGTGGGGTTGTGCTAAGCAGTCCAGCGGAGCTCAGCCTCCTGTTGGAGCCATAGCCTACGTTGGCCAGTCCCCTGCACCTTGCTGCCATGGGCTCCTGGCGGGCAGGAACAAAGGATGGACTGCACAAGTCTGAAACAGTCTGGCTAATGTGTGGAAGACAGCAGGTCCCACTGTGAATGTCTATCTCTTCTTAATGCTCAGTCGCAAAATGGGGACAGTGCCCTACATTTGCAAATAAAACAGTCTGGACAAGCAGGGCACTTGGACGGATAACACTCATTTTGTAAGCATGAACTGCACATCACCTTCGTCCTTTGGTTATCTTCACTCCAGGAATCCAGGAGAAGCTGAAATAGTGGATTATGCAAAACCTTCATTGGTGCGTGGCTAGAATGAGCTGCACAGTTTGCAGTCTTAACATTTTATCTTTTATTTGAAACTCAGGGAGAGGGATAGGGAGTGATCTTATCAGTGACCCACTTGATCCACTGGTTCATCCCTCAGATAGCCAACACCAGGACCTTCTTCTGGGTATCTCACATGGGTGCAGGGGCCCAAACACCTGAGCTCATGTTTGCAGTTTTTTCCAGGTAGGGAACTGGATTGGAAGTGGAGCAGGTGGGAATCAAACTGGTACCCACAGGGATGTGGCATCACAGGTAGTGGCCTTACACACTACATCGTAATGCCAGCCCTGTTTGCAATTCCAGTTTTCTAGTTTTAAAAGCTCTAAAGCTGCACAAATATAGATCAAACATAAAGGAGCTGTCCACCTTATAGGCAAGGGTCCAGAAGGAGGCCAGCAGAGGAGGTGTGAGCAGAACGAGGCCACCAGGTCGGGGAGCATGGGGGAGACTCTGAGCTTGTTGGGAGGCCTTACCTCACAGTGGGGCTCGGATGGATAGGGATGTGAATCCAGCAGGGGCCAGTGACAGGTGGGTGCACCCCTTGTCCCCATGACATCAGCATAGCTGTCACTCTCCTCTTCCTAGGTGTGGCCACTGTAAGAACCTGGCTCCCACCTGGGAGGAGCTCTCTAGGAAGGAATTTCCAGGTTTGGCAGAGGTCAAGATCGCCAAAGTGGACTGCACGGCTGAGCGGGAGATCTGCAGCAAATACTCGGTGGGTAGGCACTGGCCAGTGGGTCCCCCGCTTCCCGCACCCCCTGGGCCAGCCATGCTCCCAGGCCTTGCCAGCTAAAGACAAGCCACTTAGTATTGAGCCTAGGGCGTGGCATAGCTGCCTTGGGGGCACCATGTTCAATTAGAGTGGCTGGTGAAAACACTTGAGCAGAAGGACCCCGGGGAGAGGGTATTGCCAGCGAGCCAGTGGCTGCCGGGGTTTGGTGATGTGGGCTATATCATGGAGCGCACAAGCGGACAGCAGGCAGGGTGTGAAATTCAGAAGCAAGCTGAATTCTTAAGAAGTTGGTAACTGTATGTGGTCTGTGAGTGATGTTAAATGCCCCATTCTCAGCAGAAAACAAGGCTCCCTCAGCCTCGTCGAGCCACTGAAGTTCATGGTCTCGCTTGTCTGATGCACACATAGCTTACTTATGAGCAGGTGCCCGTCATGGCCTGACCTCGGTAGAGGAAGCACACTGCAGCTGACTGGGGATGTACTGTGAGACTTACTGCAGCTGCCATGGGCCTCCGGGTGCAAATGCAGATAGCCAGGCTCCTGGCCCTGCCCTGCAGGACTGGACTCCGCATTCTCGCTCTTCCCTCAGCCCAAGCCCCACGCACAGTAAAGATGGAGAGGCTCAGCTTTGTGGGAAAACTGTCCCTTCCACACTGACCTTGAATTCAGCACAGCCAACTGACCGTGCCAAGGCTTTGCTTTCAAAGCTCTCTGGTCTTGTTTTGCTTTGTACTGTGGATGCCACTCAACAGATGGGGCCCAGGGCTTCCCAACTGCTACCCTGCAGGAGCAGTGTGTGCGTGTGTGTGAGGGCGACTGGACGCACTGGTTTTCAGACATGTTCTGTTTCTCTACCCTTTCTTCCTTCACTGCAGGTGCGAGGCTATCCCACACTGTTGCTTTTCCGTGGAGGGAAGAAAGTCAGTGAGCACAGCGGCGGGAGGGACCTGGAGGCCCTGCACCGCTTCGTCCTGCGCCAGGCCAAAGACGAGCTTTAGAGGTGCGCTGGGAGGCCACCCGGCTCCCTGACCGAGGGCAGGAGCAGCGGCACTTCCAAGGGGCTCTGGGGCAAGCTGAGCGCACTGAACTGGTGCTTCTCATTGGCGTGTGTGTCCTCTAAGCACGCACACTCTGCATCTGATGCAGTTTCTCTAAGCAATGTGTAAATGGTAACTGTGCAAACTCCAGGGTCCTCGGTGGCAGCACAGCCACACTCACCTTCTCTGGAAGGAATTAAACAATATTCCTGTGAGACTAAAAATCAAATTACTGGACCATTCTGGTTCCTGAGTTCATGGAAGGCATCCAGCAGAGCAGGGTGTGGGAATGGCTCAAGTCCTGGAAAGGTGGCCTGTGACAGGTCCTCTGAGGTGAAGGTCAACACCAGCTCACTAACCACGTGGTTGGTGTGCAGCTCAGAGCAGACGGACAAGCCACCACGGGACCTGCTGCTTAATGTTTGTCTTACCGTGAAAGGCGAGCCCGGGGAAGGCAGCGGGACTTCTGACGCGTGTCTGAGTACCAACACTGCTGGAGTTCTCTGTGCACGCTCACTGCTGCCTGTCAGGTCAGTTAGCAGTGTCGCCACGAAGCTCCAGCCCACGTAACCCTTGAGGGCTGATGTCTTGAGCAGGAAGCGTGGCTGCTGGAGTTCCGTGCGGCTTGACCAGACCAGTTCCCCAGGAGTCGGCTTGTGTTTACCGCCGGGGCTGCTCTCCTCATTCCCTAGGCCTGGTTTCCAGGCAAGCCCCAACTTAGAAACCACTTCCAGTCGTCTCCCCGTCCCTCCCAGCTGTCCTGGCATCCCTTGCAGGAGCTCAGCATTCCCTTGAACTCAAGACCAAAGACTGAAGTGGGCAGGGCTCTTCCAGTCGGCTGTAGGTGCACATAGCTGCAGATGTCCTCAGTAAACGGTTACCCTCCTTCGCTCCCCGCTCCCAGCGTGCAGAAGGAAATGGTAGGACTTAGCTCCCTGGAGGTACTGACCTGCCCTTCGTCAAGGTCATGGCCCATGGCAGCAGGTAACAGCAGCGTGACCCGGCCTCTGCTCTACAGGGGATCTTCACTGATCATGCATAGTTCACAGGTACAAACCACCTTTCTAGAGAAGTTCAGCCATCACAAAAGGCCTCAGCTTTGCCTCAGGATCTTGTATTGGAAGAAAATCAAAGTGGTACAATTTGTTTATACTTTCTAAATAAATTTTTTTTTAAAAAAAGAAACCCTGGTCTTTCCTTGCATGTTACAGCAAAAGGGATAAAATAGACAATAAATTATAGTTTTATTTACAAAAAGAAGCTATAAGTGCAAAGTTATAGATTATAAATGTATTATTTAATCAGTATCAAATTGGTTTCCTAGTACATGATTGTGAAAAAGGCATTTTAAAAAATATTCTAAGATTGAATCTGAGCCTTAACGTTCTACAAAGGAAAATTGTGCTTTCAGTTCATAAACCGCATGCCAACACCTCACACCCTTTCCTAAAGGCCGGGTGCCCCTTCTCGTTTTGTCTCTTCGGTCCTAACCCTGTGACATGATTAGGCGGTCTAGGAACAGACAAAGAACGGGTTAATGAAACAGCTATTAGTCCTGACAGTCCTGAAGCAAATGTACTTGCCAGTGAGCTGGGCCAGCATAAAGGCAGCTCGTTTGTTTTCAGCTGTCAGTATGGGTGAGGGCCACTGCCAAGTGCCGTATTGCCTCGAGTCTGTCAGAGTACAGCAGACAGGAGAGAATGGAGGTGTGCAGGTGGAGGAGAGCAGACGGGAGAACGGAGGTGTGCAGATGGTGGGGTAGCATTCAGCTGAAGTTCCACAGACTCAATCAAGCTCAAACAGCAGCCAAGACAGAGGAGGAAGGCACCACCTCGGAGCCCTGGCTGCTGGGACCCTGGCCCCCCACAGCCACTGCACAAGAAGCCACGAGACCAGCTGGTACCTTAGCCAGGGGTGCTTTTTGCTCTTCCCGACACTGCTTCCCCTATTACTAACAGCACGATAGCCTGATGATCTAAGACTAATCTGGCCGGGTGGGCAGGGAACGGAAGGTTCTTTCTCAGTCGGTGTCTGCTTTGGCCAGGCCTCAGCCTGTAAAACATCTGGACTCTGCTGCCTGCAGACCAACAACTCGTGTTCTTCTCAAAGCAAGTTACCAAGGAGGCCCCTTCACGCCTTCCCTGGGGCAGTAAGGCACCAGCATGAGACGGACTCAAAGTCTTAGCTCACTTTCTCTGCCTTCTAAGGCAGATAGCAACCAGGAATCCAAGGTGGAACTTGTGTCCTTGCAGATGGTAGCAAGTCAGTGGCACCCACAAGCTCTCACCACCATATTCCGATATTTTTTCAGGATAACATTGGAGTTGTCATCAAAGTAGAGAACTGAGATGGCATTTAATTTAGTTGGTGCACAGCAAGGCTTGGGGACATATTCAGGATTCATAAGGTGCACCTGTTTGAAAACACACACGAGGAGTAGCAGAGTTAGCAAAGGTGCCTGGTCTCGGCTAACTCCCAGAGGCGAAATACAACAGATGTGTGCTCACCAGGGTCTGCACGATGGCGTGGTTGGTGGCGTTCATGTGTGCATTGAGAGGGAAGGAGCATTCTCCATCACAGTAATTGGCAGCGTAGCCCTTGGGTGCGATGATCCAATCCTTTATGATGAAAGAGAACAATGAGACATCAACAGACCCTTCTCTGTCTACAAACTGTAGTAGCTCTGTGAGAAGGGACAGGGAAGGAGGCCTAGGAAAGATTCCAAAGTTCACATTCAGATGGCAGAATGGTTGTGTGACCTGGTTAGTCTTCCTCTGGGGACCTTGCTCCTTTCATAGGCTCACTTGGCTTTAGCTGTTAGCTACCCTATTGGGCCTAGAAGCCCACACACGTCTGGTTTCATGGACTTGGGCCCAAAGACCTTCCAGAAACCCAGGGTACTCCTATCAAAACGTCAACACCCACATATGGAAATGACTCCCTCTTGTCACCTATAATTTGCTGTTTGCAAACTGGTAGTGTCTCTGCCATGTGGGGCAAAGCATCTGTTCTGGGTAGTTTGGGTGAGCCAACCAGCCAACTGATAGCCACTGGAGAAGTTAGCAGTCAGGTCATTTTCTTAAAACTAAGAGAGTTTGTTCAAATGCCCCCATAAACAAACATTGGCCATGGGGGTTTTGAGTGAAGGAGGTAAAGGGCCTGGAAAGTGGCTGTATGTTTTTGAAGGATCACAGCTCGTGGGAATGCTTGATGGATCTTCCTCTGCGAGCCTGGGCTGCTGGGAGGGATGCTATGGGGGAAACATCTCAACCCCAAGCTTGGACAACACGATGGCAGCTGCCGTCGAGATAACTCACCTGCCACCCGAGGTCTTGGAAGCTGACATACAGCTCATGCTTCCTACAGGCCGTTTTCAATTCACTGCTGTTGTAATCTGTCAGAGGAAATCAGAAGGTGCACCCTTAAACTCCTTCCTTCCTTCATTGTAAAACATTCATTCAGAGTTTGCCACGAGCTAGACTTAGGATAACCACAAGACACTCATGGTCACCCAGTATCTCCACTGGTTTCCTGATGGTTGGTGTGAGCGTGTTGCCACCTTTGATTTCCACCCTGCAGTTGGCACTGAGCATGCTGCTGATTGGAGTGAACACCATTAAGTCACAGAGATATGCGCTGTGGGCTCTGCTGTGTACAAGGCCCAGAGCAAGATGAGCCCTGATGTTCTCCCTCTGCATTGGAGACTTTGAACTGACCTTCACAAATGACTGTGCAGGCAGGATGTTGTATTTCAGAAGGGCCAGCCTGGAGCAGCACAGCAGGTTGGGCCAGGAGCGCATTCTGGAAGAAGTGGAGTGGGGCCTCTAAAGGAGGCCCAGGAATGGAGTGTGGAAGGGAAGGAAGGAATCCTGCACAAGAGGCATGTGCTCTTGGGGTACCAACCTCATGGCCAGGACTGAGATTTCTGCACTAAACATAAGGACTCTGCAGCCAACAGTTCAGGAATCTGTCGAAGGTTACAGAAAGCATCTCCCATTATCCACAGGGAATACATTCCAAGATTCCCAGTGGGTACCTGATACCACACATTGCACAGTACTGCCACACACACTATGTGTTTCTCTATACATACACACTTTTAGCAAGGTTTAGTGCCTCAGTTAGGCAAAGAGATCAGTAACATGAAAATCAGGCCTAACATACTATGACAACAGTTTCAGATACATATATCATATATTCCTGGAATTTTCCATTTAATATTTTCAGAACTGTCCACAGAGAAAAGTGCAGCCAAGGGTAGAGGGGACATTGCACCCACTGTGTGTGATAAGGTGCCACCAGCCTGGATTAACCTGATCTCCACCAAGAACCTGAGTGCACCCGACCCCCTGCGGCTCATGGCCAGCTCTCCCATGCCTTCTGTTGGCGTGAGAGCATGAAGGTCAGTTAGGCCTCTATCCCCTGAGGACTCAAGGAAGCAGAGCAGTAGACATATACACAAGTAACTCAAATACCATTGAGTGCGAATGTTCTGCAAGGGCCACGGAGAACTAGGAGTAGTTCTGCTGGAATGAAGGACAGATAATCATGCCAAAGAGAATTAAAAGCTTGCTTTTGTGAAAAATGTTTGAAATTCCTGCCTATAAGGGGTCTTCAGAATGTCCATAAAGAGCGAGCTATACACAAACAACACAAGTTTTAAAAGAGGCACAACTCCAAGGAGGAGAGAACCCCCAGTCCCTCCTGAAAACCTGAAAACAGATGGAGATGCAGGAGAAACATGAGCGAGGAGACACTGTGACCCCCGCCCCCAAGAAACACAAAAGCAAAGATGAAGAGATTAAGGAAATGCCGGAAAAGGAATTCCAAAAACTGATCACAAAGGCTACTGAAAAACAATGAAAATCAAATGCAGGAATTAAGAAAACCTTTATGCAACATGAATGAAACCTTCTCTGTGAGACAGAAGCTGAAATCAAGCTGGCACATTAGAAATGAAGAATTCAAATGCCCAATAAAAAATACAGTAGAAAATCTTAACAACAGACTTGGCAGAAGAAAGAATTGCTGAACTAGAAGACACATCTTTTGAAGACTATCATTAAGATTTGAAAAAAAAAAAGAGAAAAACCAAAGATAGTATTCAAGATTTATGAGATAGCAACCCTGTAAAATACGTGGCTTAGGAGTAAACTGAAGGTGTGGAAAGAAGAGAATGAATTAGATTAAAAGCAAAATAATAACAGAGAAAGAAATTCCCAAACATGGAGAAGGGAAGGGTTCTCCAAGTACACTATACTCAGGCTTTCACCAGCACGAGATCATTCAGACGATCTCCAATCAGACGTACGGCTAACTCCTCGTCGGAACGCTAGACTTGGAGAGCATGGAGAGTCCATGCCCTAAAAGGGAGAACTCTTCAACCCAGAATACTGTACTCAGTGACGCTCTCATGTATGCATAAAGGCAATATAAACAGAAATGGAAAGAATTTGCCATCATCCACCCAGCCACAAAGATGCACACACACAAATCCAGAATAATGATAATTACCATAATGAAAGAAGGCAAGGGTAGACAATCTCCTAGTACAAGCACAAAAGAAATCTAAAGCAAACAATGAGTTTATATTAACAGATAGGGCAAAGTCATTATTTTTCAACAAAGCCCTGAGTGCAAATGGCCCAAAGCTTTCCTATCAAAAGATATAGAACAGCTGACTGTATTAAAAAAAAATAAGAGCCATCTATTTGCCTACAAAAAAAAAGATATACACAAACTAAAAGTGAAAAGATAAAAAAAGAGACTCTACGCCAACAAAAAGTGAAAAGAAGCAGATGAGCCCATTCTAATATCGGACAAAATCCATCAACCCAGACGAAGAAGGGCATCACTTGATGGTTACAAGTGGCCACTGTGAATGTATATGAACCCAATGAAAGGGTACCTTACAACAATTATTAATGCATCTACAGGAATACAATACAATAATAATGGCGAGTGCAACACTATCATTTATGAACAAATAAACTAGACAAAAACAAAACTAAGAAACAACAGATCTAATCTACACGTGGATCAAATGGACCTAACTGACATGTATAGAACATCCGTGACACAATTGCAAAATGCATATTCTTTGGAGCTACCTAGGTAGACCACATCATGAGCCATAAAGTCAACCTAAGCAAGTTCAGGAAAGTTGAAATCAGACCATGTGCTTTTCTGACCACCAGAGAATCAAGCTGAAAAATCAGCAACTCAAGAAAGCTCAGAAAATATGCAACTACAAGGAAATTAAACAACAACAACTGGGCCCAGAGCGATAGCCTAGTGGTTAAGGTCCTTGCCTTGCATGCTCAGGATCCCACATGGGTGCCAGTTCTAATCCCGGCAGCTCCGCTTCCCATCCAGCTCTCTGCTTGTGGCCTGGGAAAGCAGTTGAGGACGGTCCAAAGCCTTGGGACCTGCATCCAGGTGGGAGGCCTGGAGGAAGCTCCTGGCTCCTGGCTTCGGACTGGCTCAGCTCTGGCTGTTGCAGTCACTTCAGGAGTGAATCATCGGATGGAAGATCTTCCTCTCTGTCTCTCCTCCTCTCTGTATATCTGACTTTCCAATAAATAAATAAATATTTTAAAACAACAACAAAACAATCCTGGAAATCAATGAAGATGATTGTACAACATATTAAAACTTATGGGATACAGCCAAAGCAGTGTTTACTAGGAAATTTCATAGTGATCAGAGCTAATATCAGGAATCAAAAGGAAGTAAAGTGACTTCTCAATACATCTCATGAACCTCAACAAACAACAGCAAATGAAACAGGAGTAGCAGAAAGAAATAAAATTAAAGAAGAAATCAATGAAATTGAAAAATGATAAAGTGAACAGAAGAACTGAAAGGCGGTTTTTCAGAAAAATAAGCAAAATCAACACATTATTGGCCCAACTAACCAAAGGGGGAGAAAAGATGGCGAAGACTGATATTAATAAAATCAGAGATGAAAGGGAGACTATGAGGAATTACTACAACTAAATGTTAACAAATTGGAAAATCTGGAAGCAACAGATACATTTCTGGACACATACAATCTACCTGAGTCATGACAACACCAAAAAACCTAAATAGAACAGTTACTAGGATAGGAATTAAATCAGTAATAAAGATTTCCAACAAAGAAAAACCCAAGTCAAGACAGCCTCACTGCTGGATTCTACCAATTATTTCAAGAGCCGATTATAATTTTTCACAGTCTATTCAAAACAACTGAAAGGCAGGGAATTCTTCCCAACTCCTTCCTGAAGCCAGTATCTCCCTAATCCCAAATCCAGAAACAAATATCACAAAGAAAATGATAGAGCAATATTCCTGATAAATACAGGTCCAAAAATCCCCCACCAAAAAATTGAAACATTCAGGTATAAATTCAACCAAAGAAGTGAGATATCTCTACAACAAAAAATTACAAAACATAAAAAATATATTCTATTTTTTACACAATACATGGAAGAATCATGTAGAGTTAATGTAGAACATGGTAAAATTAATACCAAAATGTCCATATTATTGAAAGCAATTCACAGATTCAGTGTGGTCACAATCGAGATACCTGACATTCTTCTGAGAGCTTAAAAAAAGAACAAGCTAAAATTCATACAGAAAAATGAGAGCCTGAATAGCTAAGGCAATCTTAACAAGAACAAAGCTGGACATACCCCACTACCAGACTTGGGCAGTTTCCACGTCTTTGCTATTGTGGATTGTGCTTCTATAAATACAGAGTTTTAGGTCATGTTTTCATATGCAGATTTTACTTCCTTTGGATATATTTCCAGGAGTGGGTTAGCTGGATCATAAAGTAATCGATTTTCAGTTGTGTGAGCACTCTCCGTGCTGACTCGCATAGTGGCTGCACTAGCCTACTCTGCGATTAGAGTGGATTAGGGCACGTCCCCTACGTCCACACCAGCAGGTGTTTTCCGTAGATGTCTGAACGGAGGTCATTCTCTCTGGAACTAGGTAGAACCTCAACGTGCTTTTTATTTGTATTTCCCTGAAGCTAGGGAGCCTGAGCCTTTTCCTTATGTGTACTGGCCATTGGGATTTCTTTTGAAAAGTGCCTATTCCTTTCCTTCACCCACTTCTTCATCGGTTGTCCGGCTGAGTTTCTGAAGCTCTTTGTGAACCCTGGATATTGGTTGTAGAGTGTGAGATTTTCTTTCCTGTTCTCCTTGCCTGTTTGCTTTGTTGGTCATTTCCTTTGCTGTACAGAAGCTTCCCATTTGCTTTTGTGGCTTTGTCTACTTGGTGATTTTCCTAAGCCTTTACCAGTGCCTTTATCTTGCAAAGTGCTTCCTAATGTCTCCTCAAATAGTTTGATGATTCTGGGTGCAGATTTAGAAATTTCTGAAGATAGAAATAGGGGAGAAG